TATAAAAACTGACTCAAAATACAAAAATTGACTCTAACTGCAGCAGTTAAAACTATAAAACTCTTTAAGAGGAGGAGTAAATCTTCCGACTTGGGTTAAGCAATAGTTTCTTAAGACATAATGCCACCGGGCACTGTGGTACACGCCTATAATCCCAGTGGCTGGGGAGGCTGAGACAGCAAAATCGAAAGTTCAAAGCCAGCCTCAGCAATGGCGAGGCACTAAGCAACTCAGTGAGACCCTGTCTCTCAATAAAATACAAAATAGGGCTGGGAGTATGGATCAGTGGTCAAGTACCCCTGAGTTCAATCCCCCATACCAAAGGAAAAGGGAAAAAAAAAAAAAGACATAATGCCCAAAGCACAAACAATGAAGAATAAATTCAGGACTTCATCAAATTAAAACATTTTGTGCTGCAAACAATACCATTGAAAAAGTGAAAAGAAATGCAAATCAAAATTATTACTGTTTTACACCAGCTAGAATGGTGAAAACATGAATCTTAAAAATATAACATTAAGGGCTGCGAGTGTGGTAGAGCTCTTATGGGGGTGGGGGGACACTGGGTTTGATCCTCAGCACTATATAAAAATAAAATAATGGTAGAATAGCATCTATGATGTGTCCATCTATGACTTAAAAAAGAAATTAAAAAAAATACAACACTAAGGGGGAAAAGCCAGTCATAAGAGACCATCTGTTATATGATTCCATTGATAGAGAATATCCAAATGGGCAAAACTACAAAGACAGGCAGTAGTAGTTCAGTGATTGTCCAGGGCAGGAATGGTTTTTTTTTTTTTTAATATTTATTTATTTTTTAGTTCTCGGCGGACACAACATCTTTGTTGGTATGTGGTGCTGAGGATCGAACCCAGGCCGCACGCGTGCCAGGCGAGCGCGCTACCGCTTGAGCCACATCCCCAGCCCAAGGGCAGGGATGGTTTGAAGGGACTGGAGACTGACCAGGGGAGTTGGGGTGATAAAAATATTATAGGGTTCATTGTGGTGATGGCTATACGGTATGTGAACCATATCTCAATAAAGTCATTATTAAAAAAAAAAAGTTGTAGTAGGAAAAGGAAGGATGTCAAGTCCCTGAATTTCTTGTTACCAGCTCCCCAGCCCAGCTTAGCAGAAATCTGACTAATAATTCTGAGACATCAAAGCATTTTATAGGCCCATAAGATCTGAAAAATCACCTACCAACATTTTCTTTTCTACCAGTGAGAAAAGGGCCTCTGAGACTGTCCAATGCTGTGTAGCATGTCAGTGAGGAGGGGCACAGTCCAACACCTCTCAAACTTTACACCATAACACTCACCTGGACTTTTGCCCTATCTGTGTACACCTGTACCATTACCTATCTGTATTTCATCCCTTAAAATTGACTTACTTTTCTTTCTTTTTTTTTAGTTTTCGGTGGACACAACATCTTTATTTTATTCTTATGTGGTGTTGAGGAGGATCAAACCCAGCGCCCCTTGCATACCAGGCGAGCACGCTACCACTTGAGCCACATCCCCAGCCCTTACTTTTTTTTTTTTAACCAAAACAAACTTACTTTAAAGGTAACTTCATCATCACTATCCTAACTAAGGAAAATAAATGGAAAATCAGTGTTGCTGACCACTAAGTGGAAGATAATTTGGTTTAGCTAATATTGTTGCCTACTTAAAGCTGTTGAAAACTGAAATAAGCAAGGATTAAAGGCTGTTAAAAGATTAAAAAGTCATATATAAAATGAATCAATAGAAGGAATCAAAAAACTGAGAAGGGAAGAGAAACCTCACTATTCATGTTACTGAATTCCTGTTGTCCAGTTATCAGCTAAAATCTGCTAGCTTTAAAGGCAAACCCTTGGTCTAGTGGTGAACTTTGGAATTGGGAAGGCCTGGTTCCTATTTGCCTCTTTCCCTTACTAGTTTTAACTCTGGGCAACTTGTCCAACCACAATATCCTAAGCCTGTTTCCTTGTCTGTAAACAGGATCTACTGTGCCTACTTGGCGTGTTTCCTTCTGCCACCAAGATATTCCTGTGCTGAAATACTGTATACTCACAAACAATGCCTAGTCAACAGAACACAGGACTGGCCAGTCTGTAGTAACAGCAAGTGGCCAGTAGGTGACACCATAACCCTTGGTTTAAGAAACAGATGGGGCCATTCCCTTGAATTTAATTTGATGTCTGGTCTACAGAAAAATACCCCAATCCAGGCTGCAATTTAGGTTAAAAACAGGGAAGATGCTAAAAATGCTTGGAGCCCAAACCTTTTATTAACCAGAAATGACACGGATTTTTAAAATGAATGCGCGCAAACCCAAACTGTTTAACGTACAGGCTTAATTTGGGAAGGGGCTTAAATTAAGCAGAAGAGCATTGGCAAGAAAAGGCAGTCAGGCCAAGTTGCTGCTGTAGGACTAATACTTTCCGGATATCCTGAGCACGTGTGGTCAAGTCTTGGCACAGGTACTACTGAGTTAAGAGGGACAGGGCAGAATGTGTAACTTTCCACAGAAAATGTTTAGAGAACAGGACACTAACTAACAGAATCTTTCAGCAAGGGGCAGAGTCTGCTGTGGCCAAGTCTTTCTTAACAATGAAAGAGCCTTGGTCACAGTTTTCAAGACTGGGATAAAGCCACAATGGGTTCATTCTTGAGTCAGGTCTGGTCTTTATGCCCTGGATGCTTGGCTCCATTTTGTGTGAAGCCACTGCAGGTCTCAGCACTCAGCCCCAGTGCCCACCCCAGGAAGCTTCTGGCCCTACAGAGGCGTTTTCAAATGCTAATAATGCCTCAGTTGGAGGCCCAGCTGTCCAGCCAGGGGTTAGAGAACTGGCTCAGTCTCCCCCTCTCTCTGCCTAAGTCCTCTCTGCAAGTGAGAATGAAAATCCCTGAGGCCCCTTCTGAAACACACAGCAGGTGGCCACCTGGTATCTAAAAGGCCATTCCAGGTGAGGGCACCAAGTCATTTTCCATTCCCTTTCTTCCTCTGAGTTTTGCCGCCATGAGAAACCTCCCTTAGCTCCCTGAGCTTGGTATGCTGCTTGGCAAGGGGAAGCAGCACTCCAAGGTGGCAAAGAGTAAAAATAAAAATTAAAAAAAATGACTAGGTATATTTCTGCCCCTTGCTTACTTGAGAAGGATTTCCTTATTCTATGTTAAATTCCTCAATAACAAAAAATTCCCTGGCAAGAGCTCTTTAAAACTCTATGTGTTGGCCTATGGGGTTGTGTGTGGCTCAGAGATAAAATGCTTGCCTAGCACATGTGAGGCACTGGGATAGATCCTCAGCTCTACATATTATGTCCATCATAACTAAAAAAAAATTTTAAATACCCTCTATGTGTTAGCAGGGGTGGGATATGTTGGTGGTTGGGGGGGGGGAGTTGTTGAATGGGTGTACAGTGACACTCATTGGGTCCTTAAATTGGCCATCACCCTGTCTCCACCTCCCCAACATCCAAATTTGGTCATGGTGGTCTGAAGTTGGACTGGTATAATAAGTTACCAAAGTCTAGGGAAATAGGTTGCAGAAAGCAATTATTGTTTGCAAAGTAATTAACATTGCCTTTGAAATACTAAGAAACAAACACATTCTTCAAGGGTTCTTAATTCATCCCAACTCTGGAGAATGATGGTCTACCTGCATAAAAGGAAAGTCCCAGCAATGTTCCATACAATGGCTTCAAAAGTAATGCCCCACTACTACCCAATGGAAGCTAATGTCCCTTTTGGAGTTTCTTATGGCTAAAGTCTGGAATCCTGAAGGGAAATGGTCCTTTCTTCCAGGTGCTCTTTCTGAGCACCCTGAGATGATCACAAGCTCTCCAGGGACAGAAGGAGGCAGCAGGCCCAGCTGAATCACACTAGTTGTCAAGTGAGGAGCTGGCCTGTAGGAGGTGTTTGAGGGAGAGCAGGAAAATGGAAGGAGACCCAAAATGGGCTGGCAGATTCAGGCCTGTCAGTTTTGAGGTTAAACTTCTGAACAATATGACACAACCACCTCTGTCTCCCAAGAAATAACCTCTTACCTTTTTTTTTTTTTTTTTTTAATGGTGCTGGGGATCAAACCTAGGATCTTGTGTGTGCTGGACACTCTACCGCTGAGCGACACCCCCAGCTCCCTTATTGGTGTTTAAAAATCACTGACAACCAGGGTTCAAGTGTTCTCTATGAAGACCCAGAGCTGGTTCCTAGGAGGACTTGGCAGCTCTTTCCCCAAATGCCAGACACACCAGATATGCCACCAGCAACATGGACTGATGAGAAGGGAAGGACCGATTAGTCTGTGCTCCATCTCTGGGAGTCCTAGAATGAAGCCAACACATGTGGAGAATCTGGCAACAGTCTACTCCACCCTCTTTCCTAAGAAGGCCCAAGCTGCTGTTGTGGCCACTGTGGAACTGCTCAGCAGAGCTGGGTCCAGAAAAAGCCTCTCTGAAACTGGAAGAGAGCCCTTACACAAGTTAGAATACACTTAGGGGCAAACAGGCAGTTCTGCACAGGTGCAGCAGCCTCATGATTCCCCAGTGAAAGGGGGATACCAACTGAAGCCCTGGCTGAGGCAGCAGAAGAAGTGAAATACAGTCAGTTCTGTTGGCCTCTACCAGCACAAGTGCTCCCAAATGGGCCTTCTGATTGCCCCGACTGTGTCTCTCCATAAGCCCATCTCAATTTCAAAAGCCTGGGGGCTTTCTCCTTGCTGGAAGGAGGGGAGTGGGATTGTATGTGCCTAGTCTGTTTTTGCCAGAAGAAGCCTACAAAGTTTTAAGGCCAAGGTGTATGGGCAGTCTGATGTCACTGCCACAGATTACATTTCTGGAGCTATTAACACACTCATGCAATGCTACTCTCATTTTAGAGAAGTGGTAACCCCAGACATTGTATGAAGGGCACTACCCTCACTATCCAACACCCTAAGACCCAGAGCCTCCTCCAGGCAGACACTACCTCCACCTGACAACTCCCACTCACCAAAGGAAAGCCAGCACTCACTTTTTCCTCCAGGGATCCACACAGAGCTAGTGAGCATCTCAACAGGAGCCCGCAGTTCCCTGCATGCCATGCCCCACCATGCTCTAGCCACAGGTAAGAATCTTGCAATGGAGTTCTGAGGCAAAGCCACACCAGGAACCTCGAAAGCAGCTGAAGGCAACCATGTAAGCAAAGCACCAAGGAGAAAAAATTAATATGTTCTGGGTAATTCCCCTTGAACACTTGACCTCCTGCAGGGAGATAAAAGATGGGATATTCTAGAAGTTAGAGTTGGTACAAACCCACAGAATCTGGCACCCCTGACTTTCTCCACACACATGCACTGAGGACAAGGTGCTTGCAAGAGAAGGAAATCCTAGGGTACGACTGAACCCCATTGCAGGGTTTCAAAGCAAATTTCTCCAAAGAAGGGCAAGACAGAAGTCTTTCTTAAAGAAAAAACAAACAAATCTAAAGGAAAAACAAAACAGACTCTCTGTACATACAGTTAATGAGTTTTTATGGCTAGAAGGCATTTTTTTTTTTAATGCGGTGCTAGGGATCAAACTCAAGGCTTTGTGCATGCAGGCAAGCACTCTAGCACCAAGTTACATCCCCAGCCCACTAGAAAGAAAATTCTTGATAGTTGGATGGATGGTAGCCAGTCTTAAAGGTTTTTCCCTCTACTAATTCTGTCTGATATTAATTTGGCTAAATGTGGTTGCAGGACACTGCAAGGGGAAATGAATGTGTGGTACTACTTGATTAAATAAAGAAGAGTGAGAAGAAACACGATGTCTTCTACAAAACTGAAAGGAAAGCTCCAGGATATCCCTTCTAAGTTTTGCCTGGCATCAAAGGACTGGAAAAGGACTAGAAAGCTAGTCAAGGGAGACTCAAAATTGTTTCCCTAGAAATTTCCTCAAAAACCTTTCCCTCTCCAGCTTCCTTTCACTCCCTCAAGTCATTTTCAGGAGGTATAGAGAAGTGTAAAGAAAATTCCTTTTATAATCAAAGAAGCTCAGCAAACTGCAATACTTGCAGCAGGGTCATAGCAGGGGAGGCAGAAAACTGGTGGGCTGCCAAAGACTCTGCAAACCTCACCAGAGTCTCTACAGACAAGACTGTGGGTCCCTGCACTCCTCTTGAGTCCCATGCAGGACAATCTCCCCATTGTAAGGATGGGAACCTCAGTAGCCTAAAGGGCTCAGTGGAGGGGGCTAAGTGTAAACTTATAGTCCTACGTTTACTTTTATGAAAAATGTCAAGAGGTCCTTTAAAGTTTTAAAATCAAGCATATGCTTGTGCTCTTTCCACCTTTTTCCTGAAGAGAATGGTGAAATCTAGAATGAAATCCATTTAGTTGCCAGGGACTTGTAAACCAGTGTACAGTCACTTTGAAGACCAAGTGGCAGAATCAATATAGTATTCTGTGTGTGTGTGTGTGTGTGTGTGTGTGTATGTGTTAATTACTGGAGATTTAACCCAGAGGCACTCTACCACAGAGATATACTCCCAGCCCCCGGCCGAACTATTCTATATTCCCATTAGCAGTATGTGTTCAGAGTTCCGATTTCTCTACATCCTCATCAACATTTGTTATCTTTTGCATGCATTTGTGTATTTTGATAACTGCTCATCAGATGATTTTGAGCTAATTAAAAAGGAGAACAGGAGATTGTCCTGAATAGCAATTAGGCAAAAGTCCTTCAAAAGTAGGACTATACTGTTTCATGTACACATATAGCCCCTCTCTCCATTGTTCACTGTGAAACAGTAAGCTGCAATTGCAAGAAATGGATCAGGAAACCTAGAAGCATATTCACCCTAGCAGAGCCTTCAAATAAAAAGGCAGCCTACTAAACACCTGCAGTGTGGCCCCTGCCCATTGTGGCATTGCACAGACTGAGCAGAGGACCTAAAGGAGCTGTACCCAGAC